AAGAACACGGGTTTCAGAGAGCTTGGAAAGTCTTCCTGAAGTTGCTGAGCACACTTGCTGCTCCTCAAGCGCCGTTTCCCAGCTCCACCTGCGCGCACGGACGCGGAGCCGGAGGGGTTTGCCCCAGGATGCTGAGAGAGGAGATGAATTCTCTTCCCTCTGAGGGTGGGCAGGCCCTGGCACAGGGTGCCCAGAGAAGCTGTGGCTGCCCCTGGATCCCTGAAGTGTCCAAGGCCAGGTTGGATGGAGTTTGGAGCAGCCTGGGACAGTGGAAGGGGTCCCTGCCCCTGTCCCACCCCAGGGGGTGGCATGGATGGGCTTTGAGGTTCCTTCCAACCCAGCCCAGTCCATGATCCCATGGTCTGCCTAAGGGAAGGAGTGGATGTACCCAGCCCACTGGCCCTACAGCACACACTGGCTGGATCTCCTGTTAATGAAAAGCTTGGAGAGCAGGGATGGTCCCAGTGCTGAAGGCAGCCTGGGGCTTTCCTAAAATCCCAGAGATGGATGGAGGGGAGGCAGGCTCAAGCTGGCACAGCCATGAAGCTTTTAAACTAACAAGAGTAAGAAAAATAAACACTGGGAAAGATCTTTCTGTGAAGAGTATTTCCAAGAAAGCTTTTTAATTTTTCTGCTTGTTTTCCAGCCGAAAAGCCTTCCTATTATCCCTGGCTGTTCCAGGAGGTGCAGCAGCACAAGGGGACCCAAATAGATGAGGCTCTGAGCAGCCATTCCTCTTTGAAACACAGCTCTGTCTAATCCTGCTCCGAGCAACTTCAGGCAGCATGGTGGGGAAAAAACTGCTGGTTGCTGGCACCTTGCCTAATGTAAGCATTCCTGCTGCTACCCTCAAAAACACCGAGGGATTTTTTTTCAGTGACAAGTTCTGCACAGAGAACTGAAAAACTTCTCCCTGGGAAAAAAAAAAATCACAAGAATCTGATTTTCTGAAATAGGAATGGAATTTTAATTTCCATCCAAGTGCAGCGCAGGTGCTTCAGCATTTGTGTTGCTGTGAGCATTGTCTCAGAAAAGCTGCAGAAAGATAAACCAAGTGAGATGAAAGAACCCATCCCAGAAAGAGAGGGCTGTGCATGTGCAGATAGTGTGGAGAGAGAAGAATCAGCATGACCTTTATGGAAGGGCATAAAAGGGATGAGCACCAGGCCTTGGAATTGGTGAACCACCCTGAGCTCAGTGTCCATCATCATGATATCTGAATACTTGGGCAGAGGTCAATGATCAAAGCAGGCATGTTCAAGGAGGGGAAAAAAGCCCTGCAAAGTGCAGTAAAAACGCTCCAGTTTGCTGAAGCCCAGATTTAAACCTCATTGAACACCTCAGCTTTGGTGCAGACGAAAATGAAGGAACTCAGAATTCCTGTTTGAAAGCGACACCTGAAACGTGCCTGGAGCCAAAGGAAGGCAACACAAAATCTAGAATTACCCACACCATTTAACTCTGATCCATTGTACCTGCCTGAGAACAGTGACTGCAGGAGGATCCTCCTCCTCCTCCTCCTCTGCGCATGGAGCCAGGGATTTCCAGAAGGAAGACCATGGTTCTCCCACAATTATCACCACAGGTTTCTGGAGCTCATTTGCAGCATCTCAAAAAGCTTTGATCAAAGTGTTTGCATCTCCCATAACACCTTTGACGGCCTATTTTGGATTTGTGGTCTTCACAAGTGCAGTAATCCTCTGAGGGTGCAAATCTACGTTATGGTGGGGGAAGAAAAATCCCCAAGGGAATTTTTTAGGTCACTGGACAGATTTGTAGCCAAGCACTGGAGAACTAGGAAATAACTGGAACTGAAAACTGCTTTGAAGTGCAAGACAGATGTGGAAATCATAGAATCATGGGGTAGCCAGAGTTGCAAAGCACCCACAAGGATCACTGATCCAACTCCTGGCCCTGCACAGACACCCCAACAATCTCACCGTGGGCATCCCTGGGAGTGGTACCCAAGTCCTCCTGGAGTTCTGGCAGCCTTGGGGCTGAGACCATTCCCTGCACCCTCTGGGGGAAGAACCTTTCCCTGAGATCCAACCTAAACTCCTCTGACATTCAACTGCTTGGAGAAAACACCCAGAACAGCCTGAACTGGCTGGACTCGAGGATTCTTGAGGCCTTTTCCAACCTCAACGACTCGATGGCTCTGCCTTGCACCAACGCAAGTCCCAGAAAACCCAAAGGCTGCCAGGATTTGGGAAGGGCAGCCCCCCCAGCCTTTCTGAGTCTTGCTAGGACGTCCTCACTGGCAATCTCCAGCCACTATCACTCTTTGTGAGACGCCCTTCTCCTAAAGGACAGGGAGCTGGGGCACGCCTCATTGCCTTCTCCTTCAGCTCCCGCTGACGGACGAGGCTGCCTGTCCTCGCTGTCAGCCATCCCCTCCCAGCCCCGCCAAGGATTCAAGGACCAGCCAGATTAGATGTCTGCTGAAGGATGCCCAGAGCCCTGGGATGCCCAGAGCCCTGCCCGGAAACTCCTCACTCTGCTCTTGTGGCCAAAGCGCTGCTTTTCAGCAGCAGGGCTGTGCTTTGAAGAGATGGTGCAAAATTAAAGAATTCAAGGACCACTGAGGCCCTCCTGAGACACAGCTGGCAAGTCCCAAACAGAGCAGGGTGCTCACCTCAGAAGACATGCGAGAAGAAGCAGGTGAAAGGAAGCTGAGGGGCTCATACAGAGGTACAAACACTGCAAAAGGAGGGGTTGGCACTGTAGGAGCACGTCCAGAGGACGGCATGGAGTTGGGGAAGGGGCTGGAGCCCCAGGAGAGGCTGAGGGAGCTGGAAAGGGGCTGGAGCAGGAGGAGCAACTGAGAGAGCTGGGAAGGGGCTCAGCCTGGAGAAAAGGAGGCTCAGGGGGCCCTTGTGGCTCTGCACAGCTCCTGACAGGAGGGGACAGCCAGGGGGGTTGGGCTGTGAGGGAACAGGGACAGGAGGAGAGGGAATGGCCTCAGGCAGGGCCAGGGGAGGCTCAGGGTGGAAACTGGGGAATATTTCTGCACAGCAAGGGCTGTCCAGCCCTGGCACAGCTGCTCAGGGCAGCAGGGGAGTCCTCATCCCAGGGGGGATTTAGAAGATGTGTGGATGTGACACCTGGGGACAGGGATTAGTGGTGGCCTTGGCAGTGCTGGGGGAATGGTTGGACTGGATGATCTCAGAGGGCTTTTCCACCCTCAATGATTCTACGCCCTCTGAGGCTCCCTGTGTGTTACTGAGCTGCTGCTTGCCAACAACTTCCTGCCTTTCTGGAAGCACATTGATCCAATTCCTATGAGAGGGGACAATTTTGTTGAGTTACTGCAAGAGGATTGCAAGAGGATGTCAGGTAACACGGTGTGATGCTGGAAGACAAGGAGAAGAGGAAGAGGAAACAGAGGATGATGAAGGATGGACTCTGCAAGCAGAACAGGGACACCAGGGAGAAGAGAGCCAAGTGCAAACTGTTCCCTCTGGGTCTGTGCCTGCAGCCCAGGACCACACAGACTCCAGCTCCAGTGCCTTGTGAAAACAATCTCCCCAGGAGAAAGAAAACATCCACCTATTAACTGCTCAGAAAGAGATTTTTCAAAGGCTCTCGATATCCAGCTGGTCTTGATTCATATTGACTTCAACAAAATATTCTTGGGCCAATGGTGAACGCTCTGAAAAATCCCCTCTGTAATTTGCCATTGAGGTTTGAAAATAAGTGGCGTAAAAGGGCTTCTTTAAAAGAAAAATAATAAAAAAAGGACAAATTAAAAATGAAAGGTTGAACTAAAATTTGGCTTCGGGCCATAAACTAGGGGGAAACTAACAGCAAAGATAGTTAAATGACTGGAAAGAGAACACAACAGGAGCTGTTATGAAAAAAAGCTGATGGCTTTTTAAAAAAGGATTTGTATAGATAGCTGGGGAAATAAATTCCGGATGTGATAGAAGTGCAATTGAGAAATTAAATAAATGGAAAATAAGGATGACTAAGTAGTAGTTAACATGCCCCTTCTCAGTTGTATACTATTATCACATCTATTTTTAATGTCTCTTCAGCTGTCTGCAATTGTCATCCTTTTTTCAGAACTTGTTCCAACATTCTTTGATACTGAATTAGCTGTTTTTTACCCTCCCATGCTTACAACCACATCTTTTTCTTACTCAACACTCCCCTTTTCCCACAATGTTATTCCATTGTCTCCCTTTTTCATCTCTCCTATGTGTTGACTCCCCAGTTTCTGAGCCCTCCAACCACCCTTGTTCATCTTTCTTTTTCTGGAGCTCTTTTGGTTGAATCCTAGCATGTTTCTTTTCTTCTTTTCTAAAGCTGCAAGCATGTTTTATATCATACCTGGCTCCTGTACACATTGTTACCCCTTCAGAAGGGCATTGAACAGCTACAGCAGTGTGGAAATAGTAAGCTAAGTTAAGGGAGAAAAAGAAGTTCTTTTTGGCTTTTGCTTTCTGGCTTGTAAAAAAAAGAACCCAAACATTTAAACTCTCCCCTTTTCCCTTTTATCCTCAAATAACACAAGCTTTCCACAAGCAGCTGAATATTCAAACAATGACAGGCATCAGAAGTGTTGGCCATTCTAGAGCTCAGGATGTGCCTAAGGAGATGTGATAACACAAGATTTAATAATACTGAAAAAAATACACAAGTTCTGACGTGATCCGTGGGCTACGGAGTGAACCTGAATTTTTCCTCCTTGTTAACCTTCCAAGTGTGCCTCTTCCTTACCTCAACACCTAATGATGCTTCATATTAACTTGGGTACTCTGATTTATGAAAAAAAAAAAAAAAAAAAAAAAGAGGTTCTAAACACACTCCAGGCAGCTGAATTCACCACTGTGATGCCTCAGCTGCTTCAGCTCCATCCTTACAAGCTCACACTTTAATTTCTCACAATTCCCTTTCTTTCCCCCCGTGCATTCAGAGCCGAGGCTGGTGCTGAGCTAACAACGCTCTTTGGAACGGCATTTTCAAAATTCAGGCTTGGATTTTGATTTGGAACCTACCCTCAGCCGTGCCCGAGATGCCATCAGCTTTGAAGTTGCTTGTGCTTTTCTTCCGGCGGTGCTTCTTTCTGTTGGCGTGGGGGGAAGGAGGGGGATCCAGCTTGGGGCTGGTGGTGCTGGATATGCTGGGGCTGGAGCACACTGAATCTCCCAGGCCCGTGTCTGCAGTTGGGTGGGAGGGAAAAAAAGAGGGGAGAAAAGATCAAAGTGCTGTGAGATTGAAATGAGTTGATTGTTAGAATCTGAGCTTACAACCCCTGGCTGTTGGCAGATACGTTCTTGAGCTCCTTCAGGAGATTCCCCAAACAATATCCATGGTTTTTTCCAAAAAAACCCCAACTTGGCTGAAGTGCTGATTCAAGTCCTGTTAGATTAACAGCACTCAGCAGCAATTTTAGGAGCAGGCCAGCTGGAATGTAAAAAACAATGGGAAAGCACTTTGTTGCTTCCAATTACCCCCTCCTCCAAAGATCTTCCCTAGCCCCAAATTAATTTGTGTAACACTTGGGCATTTTAATACATCATCAGAGATAACCCTACATCCTCTGGATGTTCTCTGCTGTCATTGATATCAGACAGACACCCACTGAAAAGGTGGTGATGGCAATAAAGGTGGGAAGATAAGGCAAGTAATGTGCACCTGGTACAGGTAATAATTGTGTGATAAAGGGTCACTTCCTACCTGCTCCCAATGAAAATAAATAATCTACATTACTCTGTTCAGTTTCCTGCTTTATTAACTCCAACAATTTTAAGAACTGGGTTTTTCCACACAGTAAATATTCAAGTAACCTTAATCCAGGATTTCCCCCCAAGGTTGGTAATATGATTTTTGTTTAATTACTGTCTTGGTTTGGATTTTAATTATAAAATTCCACATAAAACCTACACTTAAAGGAAAGTGCTTGCTATTATGGAAAGTGAAGCCATTTCCAGAACCTTGCTTAAATACCATATTGCACCTTAGTGCAGTATCAGGACTACATTTATGTGCCATATCCTTAAAATCTCCCAGACAGATATTCAGCAAATACATTCCCATGATTGTCTTTTGGGGTTAAATACTTGATGATTGGTTTCAGAATAGCAGACACAGGGAAAAAGAATAAAAATCCTTATTATAAAGCTTAAGTGTAATAACAGGAGTGCATTTAACTTAATATGTCAGAAAAATATCAAGCCAAACATTAAAAAAACAGCTTTAGATTCCTTTTGCATAGTTAAATTCCCACAGAACTGCCTATTTGACAAAAGCCAACTTATTTTGGTTTCTTTTCCCTCCTAAAAAAGTTTATTTACTAATTACCCCCTAAGCACAGTTGTGCTCTAAGTTATTAGTGGGGGATAAATTATGTAGCTAATTGCCTGGCAACAGAGACCAAACCAAACATTAATCTTTATATTAAGGATTTCTGTTCTTTTCCCTACATCCACTAGCTTGAAACCAGTTCCCAAGAATTTAACCCCGAAAGGGAATCATGGGAATGTATTCACTCTGTATCAGTGTAGGAGATTTTAAGGATCTGACCCACAACTGGTGCAAGTGGCTCTCCTGGCAGAGTTTGCTGTCTCTCCAGGAGAGGAGGAAGGCAAACCCAGGTGAAAATCCTGGTGGGAATTCTCTCAGCCATCCATGGCACAGAGAGAAGATGCAGAAGAGGGTGCCAGAAACACAAAGGGATGAGCACAGGTGCAAGAGGGTTGTTCCAGTCCCAAGCAGTGACCTCCAGCTTGACTCTGGAGGTTTCCACTGGTGGTACTTCAAAAGAAGGAGAAAACCCCCAGGTTGCCCAGAGAAACCGTGGCTGCCCCATCCCTAGGAGTGCCCAAAGCCAGGCTGGATGGGGCTTGGAGCAACCTGGGCTAGTGGAAGGTGTCCCTCTCTGAGGTGTTAGAACTAGGTGATGTTTAATGCTCCTTCCAACACAAACCTTTCTGGGATTCTATGATTCAAAATGCTTCACTTTCCCTCCCCCACCATTCCCAGCTTTCACCTTCTAAACAATCAAACCCATCCGAGTTCATCCCCTCCTGCACCCGCAGCATCAGCCACCATGCCCTGCACCCATCAAACCCCACAATCCTGAGGCACCACCACAGAATACATCCTGTTAAAAACCATCAGGCTAGATCCACACACTGGTGGCAGCTCTGTCTAATTTCCAGGCCATAAATCCCCCCAACAAAACCTGCTCGAGAGCTCTGAAAAATGAGGGACGTACGGGGCTGACGCCTGGCGTCGGAGAGCTGAAGAATTAACCTCCCGTGGTAAATCCTCGTCATCCACAGCCCCTTCCAGATAATAACCTGCTGTCCTTGGGTCAAACTGCTCTCAAGTGGGAGCCTGGAGCTCTCCCTCCTCCTCAACCAGCAAGGGAAGGATGGTCCCTCATAAACGGAGCCGAGTTGGTATCGCCGGCGCGCTGCTGCCCCCGGATCCCCGCTTTGCGAGCCCACCCTTTGAGGATGGGAGTTATTTAACATTGCCCTGGTTTAAAATATGAGCAATCAAAAGGCACCAGGCTTCCACGCTGTGCTCTCCCATTTCCCACTCCTTCCCTTGCCTGACAAGGTATTCTTCAAATTGAAAAGAGGGCTCCTGAAAGCTCGGGCTTGGGGAAACTGTAAATGAGTTCAGGCTTCAGCCCGCTGAATGCAATTTCATCCTCCTGACTGAATACAAATAATGCATTTTATTTGGTATCAATTACCACGCCTGAGAACAGACGACCACTGCCGGCACTATTAAATATATATTTAAAAAAAAAAAAAAAAAAAAAAAAGAGAGAAGAAAAAAAGATGGGGAAAAAAAAAAGGCAAGGATAAAGGCACGGCAAATTAAAAAAGCAAGCGCCTCATTACTCCCCATCTCAAGCAGCTTTGACAGAGGCACTGGAACTCATAAGCTGCATTCCACTGGGCTGGGATGGGCTGTTTTCCAGCCATCCCGCACGCTCAATGTCAGCCATTAGTTCTTCCCAATCGGGCATCAATGTTCAACACACACCCGAAAAAATATATAATACTGGTAATAATAATAACAATCTGCAGCCTCTCCGAGCTTCAATACTTGAAGTATGAGTCAAAGCAGCAGTTTCACTTTTCACTCGGGAAGCTGACAAGCATGACTAGAGGGGGAATAAAATAACATTCAGTTCGCATAAATATCAAGCGGGCTGCTTGAGACTGATGGGCCAGGAATGTATTCTTAGCCATCATTCTGGCAGACAGGCCCAAGGACACTCATAACTTATTTTACAATCATTTAGTTTCAGCTCAAGTGGAAAACGTGACAACTTATCTCTGCTGACAAGATGCCATATCGAACCTTACAATTAACTCTCCCCCGATTATCTGCCCAGCCCATCATTAGCTCTGCGGCTCTTGATGGACTGTAGGGACACAGCTTCCCTTGATGATGGTCATCATTTGCAGGGTGCACAGCTCCATGACACGACACCGAGGACAAAACTCTCCCCTTGCCACGGAGCTGGGGTTGTCCTGACCGGCACAGCCTCGTTTTTGCCACTGTTTTGAAGTGACGAGCGGCAAAACGCTGCTGGAAAATGTCTTCTCCCCCCAAACGGAGCATCCTCGTGTTTCAGCCCACGCCTGCTGCTGCTGCTGCAACCTCCAGGAGTGAGCCAGAGTGCCCACGCTCTGTCCCAGCTGCCAGGAGCCTTCCTCTTGCCCTCCATCCCTCTCCAGTGCCATGATTAACTCCTTCAGCCGGAAAGGAGAGCTGACACAGCCACATCGCAGAATCATTTGGCTTGGAAGGGACCTCAAACCCCAACTCCTGCCATGGGACACCGTCCTCTGTCCCAGGTTGCTCCAAGCCCTGCCCAGCCTGGCCTTGGACACTTCCAGGGCTGTGGCAGCCCTGCGTAAGTATGTGCAGTATCTCACTCCACGCCCAAAAGCACCAAGTGACCCTTGCTGACCAAACACCCCTCGAGTTATGCAGAGATGGGACATAAAAACCCCACCCCTCTGCTCTTCACATGGTGATTTTTCTCTAGAGGTGCAAGACACGTGGATTAAGACAGAGACTGCTCTGCTGTGCAAGTCCAACCCTCATTTGTGAGAATTTACCAAACAAAATAAAAAAGCCAATGCAGCTTTTACTCCACAAGGCAAGTGCCACGTCTGCTGCTCTCCAAGATCCATTTTGCAATTATGGTCATGAGAGAAATGCCTTTCAAGTATGACAAACTGTGGTAGAAGAAAGGAGGGGTGGAACAGAAGCAACACTTTGTCTACAACTACAACCCAGAGTCAAGAGACAGAACATTAAATGAAAACCAATCCTCAGAAGAGTCTCAAGAGCAGTGCTGTTGTACTGGGCTTTATTTGCTGTTTGAAACAATTTCATATCCTCTCCCAGTGTTACGAATATTTTGTAAAGGGTAACAATTCCCACTTCCTATCTTTTCTATTATTTTGCTATTTGGAAGCTGCACGTGCTCAACAAATGGATGTCAAAGACAACTCCATTTGTGTCCCCTAAGGACTCTGTGAGTGTCCTCCTGGATTTGAAAAGGGTGGAAAATTAACAGAATCATCACTGAATCACAGGACTGGAAGTGACCCGATAGACCATCTCATCCCACCCCTGCCATGGCCAGGGACACCTTCCACTGTCCCAGGGTGCTCCAAGCCCCAATGTCCAACCTGCCCTTGGACACTGCCAGGGATCCAGGGGCAGCCACAGCTGCTCTGGGCACCCTGTGCCAGGGCCTGCACACCCTGACAGGAAACAATTCCTAATTCCTAATATCCCATCCATCCCTGCCCTCTGGCAGTGGAAGCCATTCCCTGTGTCCTGTCCCTCCATCCCTTGTCCCCAGTCCCTCTCCAGCTCTTCTGGAGCCCCTTTAGGACCTGGAAGGGGCTCTGAGCTCTCCGTGGAGCCTTCTCTTGTCCAGGTGAACACCCTAAACTCTGAGCTGTCTGAAACTCAATCCAAACCCAGACTGTGCTTCCTGGTGCCCCAAGAACAGAAAAACAACTACCTTGCATCCCGAATTCCCAACCCCCCCACCAAACCCATCCAAGATACGGTTCCTTCAGCAGCTGCAGCAGAGGTGCAGGAGATGCCAGCACAGGAACCCAGGAGGCCAAGGAAATGAGGGACAATAAGCCAGGATGAGCACCCCAGG